GCAGAGACCCTGTCTCTCTATGACTAATCATTACTAATCCCTACTAATTTTATTCAATTAGAGATCTATCAAGAGGGGGCACTGCCAACAAAATTTTGAAGCAATACCTAACTAAATACTTTCTTTATGCATCGCTTTTTATGTTTAGACCTACATCTCTGTCTTCATTATACAGAGTATAGCTATTGGATATCAATAGTATCTAATCTACTCTGAAAAAACTATAAAATTGACGACGATGGTTAGACATTTTAAAACTATTCGATACAAGTAGGTATCGAGTATAAAAGTATCGATACCTACATTGAATCCTAAGCTCGTCATGTCATCAGCTGGGCGTCATCTGTCAGAAAAGTTTCATTAACTTGGCATTTAATTTTAAGTTTGAAATAATTATTAATATACGTTTATTTATTTTTTTGTTGTATCTAGAGTTCTTAATAAATCTACTTATAAAAAAAGTGGTAACCCAATAATGGAAGAATTTATTAACATCGTGTCAAAAAACACTTAGTGATATTTGCTAATATTATTATTATATGGTATTTGACACTATCGAAAATAAGTTGCATTTTGTGGTCATCCTGATAGATTATAATCTAATAAAGCTATATCTTTACATCTGCAGAATTAACATGTTTAGATTTAGTAAAATAACGTAAATGAAATGCAATATTTTTAGGAATTTATTCAACGACGAAAACGTCCTATAATTGGTCGTCGTCACAACCAATCACGATTCTGTTTACTGGCCTGTGACGTCATCAGCTGTCATGACAAAGCAGTGTAAGAAAGATACATAAAATATCAATGTCTGTAGGTATCGAGTACTTTATAGTAATTTACTGATAACAGAATACCTTGCCGCTTCTACTGATAAGAACTGCCAAAAAGAAATGCAGAAAGAAAGAATCATTTATAAGCTTTTTAAAAAATCCAAGAAATAGGGAAACGCCATGAATTAAAAAAAAAACAACTTACATGTTTTTCTCATTTCTTGAACTTTAATACAATAATACAAAATTTCAAAGTCGATTTTGATGATATATACTGTTCTCCAAATTAAAAATTAATTTAAAAATATCATCGGGATCTGATATCTAATTATCAAATGCCATGCATTTAGTAGACAGACATACTACATGCACGTATAAAACAAATATAGAACATTCTTTATAGTACTAATGTCTCATCCATCTGTAGGTCGACAGGCTGTAAAGTGCGAACCCTGTCAACAAATATAAAAGAGTCGTAAAATGTTTATGACAAAGAAAAAAACCAAAAAGAAAACCTCCAAATGTATCGATATGAAATAAAAAATTTTCAACACTTTTAGCGAATACTTACCAAATTTTATCACCCATCTCTACTTTATATAGCTACTATTGTGATTGTGATTCTGTTTTCTTTTGGACGCAAAGTTTGCTTGCTATTTATAGAAGTATTAGTAATTGTGGCAATACGCACCACTTGTAGCTCATTTTATAAAGAAAACCAGAGCAGAGGAAATAAAAAACGTAAAAAATACGCACTACGACTTCAATTTCTCTTCTAAATTATCATTTCAATTTACTCTAAAGACAGTTGTTACTTATCGATTTAACATATTTACTGGCCTGTGACGTCACGGTCAGCGCCATTACTTAGAGTGGCGTTTTTCGCGCGATTTTGGCTATTTAAATTTTAACATTTATTTTCACCTAAAATGGTAAAGATTCCAATGAAATATTATGATAGTGTGTTTATAATGTAGCAAACAACGATTTAAAATAATTTTCAGAAAAGTGTCAAATACCCTATTTTGTGGTAATTAAAAAATAAGCATTTTCTGAAATAGCTATAAATATAAAAGCCATCACGTAAGTATTCTTAGTATTTTTTCCACCGTAACGAGTGATTATGTTATATCTAGAGTAATAATAATGAGCGTAATTGGGTTTTAAATCTCTATAAAGTATATCCTAACCAAAACTTTCAAAAACATAATAAAATTATTGAGAGATTGCAGTTACGTCAAATGAACGTTATCGTTCATTCAATATCTTTCACAATTGCTTCGACATGTAAATTAGTTGTAGCGTGAAGTTCGCGAATTTCTTACAAATGACAAATTCAAAGTGATCTGTGAAAGATTTTTTTTAGACCATTAGGCCACATGTTATTGAAATAGGTACTGTAAGAAACCATTTATCTACTACCTAACCAAATATTAATGATGTGCCGCATCGATTATTATACACATCGTTTATAGTATTACTCGTAATCGATTAACAATCAATAATAATCGATTCATGTCAATGATTATTAATTATTTTTACCCAAAAAGTTCAAAAATTCCATCGTATTTTAAAGGCATCCAAGTGAATGAACAATACTTAAAATTCTATTTTAAGACAATGTTTACCATACCGATTTGTTAATGCAAAATTAATAGAATTAAACGAGCGGTACCCGCGATTTCGTCCGCGTGGAAAGTAGCTTTAGTAATTCCTTATCAGATAAGCTAACTGTCAGTGAAAGTCCCGTCAAAATCAGTCTAGCCGTTTCAGAGATTAGCCGGAACAACCGACAGACAAAAAATGAAAAATATATTATTTTGGTACAGGTATGTACCGTGTATACATACAGGATACATATGTGCATTTAGTAAGAAACGGTTAATTTGTATTTGTTAAAATAAATCTGTAAGATCCATGGTAAGATCCGTTCATTCTTTCATTGGGAGTTCTCCATAGAGAAATATAATATTAGGAGTTCTCTGACCAAAGAGTAAAGTTACCTATTTGTTCGTGCGAGTGTTCCAGGGTTGCCATAATAAGTAATGGAAAATCTACTTATATTATTCATTCTCGCTATCCGCTAAGGGTTGCTGAGCCAATAAAGTAAAGTAAGTAGCTACTGTACTAACGTTTCAAACTATTCAATGTTAATAAGATATAAGATATAATCGAATGTTAATTTTCGATTACGAAATCATAATCGATAGTTACTTTTATTTTAAAAATCGATTAATTTATTAATGGTGATTGATTTCGCACGCCGCTACCAAATATTTTAAGTACTCGTTATATCATTTTTACGTTTAACGATATAATTATACAACAAATATAAATCTATCACTAACAACATATATAAGTCTAAACAACATTATTACTTTGTATGTATCGTGGAGTATAGTACCCACTTATCGTATGCTTAATCTATGCTGTATCGACACCATAGATAAATACATAATACTGGTCAATTTGAACCAGTTTGAAATGAAAAGTGTTTCCAGAGCCGTTAGTTAAGCTCAATAAAAAAATTGTGTTAAGCGCCAATTTCACTACCCAATTTATCGGGCGCGATCTATCGGGTACACTGTAAATTGGGAAGTCTAATCGCTGTTAGAGAGTTAGGGTCTCGATATCGGGTGATCGTGAGCGCCCGACTGCCCGATCTCACTAGTTAGTGCGTTAGGGCCGATTTATCGGGCAATGTGATCGCTGTTAGGGTCGGTGAGACGTCGGTGATCGACAACGAAATTTGCGAACAGAGAAAAATGTCTTCTCTAAAGGAAAAAGAAATAATATTAAATGTAAACGTAATTTAATATTATTACTTTTTCTTATAATATATATATACATATATGATATAATGTTTTAAACATTTCTAGATAGCCTGGTACAATTTTTGATAGCAGGGGTTCTGATATCAATGATTTTAGCGAAATTGAAAATTTATAATTAATTATGTATTCTAATTTTTTTATAAATTACAATAATATAAACTAATGCTCTTCCTTTCTATTATTGTTGTGCCCGACAGGGTCCATAGTGAGACTAACTATGTAACATTATTTTAAATTACCTATGGAAATAATTAACTTATTGAGTACATGATATGCATTTCCAGTTGCTAAAAATTTTAAGGTTACAGCACAGCTAACCGCTGTTTTGCGCTTACACTAGTTCTAAATAGCGTATATTGTTTTTTTTTATATAAGGTCATACTAAGTTTAATATATGATCAAATTGTGCAGAACTCGTGCTGAAGTAGTTCAAACTGCATAGTTTGTCTCTTAGAAGCAAATATTTTTTCACCCAATATTTTCTTTTTTTGTTTTATTATTTACGCCAGCAGTTAAAGTATGGGCTATGCCAATTTTTTGGTACTTTGTGAGCGCAGGAGCCATCCTTTCAAGGCCACGTTTGCATGCCAACTAAGTTAGGGAAGCGATCTAGTGCAGTGTAATCACAACGACGCCAACCGCCCTAAATCGAGGCCGATATATCGTGCCCGATAGATTGGGTAGTGAAATCGGCGGTTTAGAAAACTCGATGGTAGATGGCGAGGAATTAATTTCCTTGCAGAAATGCAGATGGCAGAGTTCGTGTCAATGTGTCAAGCTGTCACTTGTCTGTCAGTAAAACTTAAAGGTAGTGTTGCCGCTCTGGCGACTTTGTCGCTGTATCTAGGGGAGTTAAAAAACATGGACATGGAAGCTCAAGGGACAGAAAAGAGCTACGTTCAACATTATAGAAGAGAATTGAAGAACTATGAAAAGTTCAAACATTGGTAAAAACCTGTGCCTGCTAACTCAACTAAAGCGTTTTATTATTACAGTTGTACAATGATTATATTTTATGATGATTATAACTTTTAGTTTTTTTTTTCAATAAATAGTTATATTTTTAAAATTTTAGTCTTTCCAATTACATGTCTATAGCCTTTCCTATTCATCAATAGTGCAATCGTAGCAAAGTTGTTGTTTTGGTATTTTAGACAAAACAATTTTTTTTTATTCTAGTAGGCTATTACAAGCACTTTTGAATCGTCCAAAAAAAATTTTTTTTTCCCTTACCATATAACAAAGTGAAGGCTATTATTTCCATGCATTGCGATCCTTAAAATAATCATCAACAACATTTATCGACACATGTACAAGATACCTAAGAAAAATAAATATCTGTATCTAGGGACATAAAATTTTGTAGAACGGCAACAGTGCTTGTAGGTTTGTATTTGTAGGTAGGTCATTCTAAGTGGTGTAGGTGTTGGTTGTAATAAATAATTTTGGTTAATATTTTATAAATGCATTATATATTTTTAATCATATATTGCGCTATTAAATTGTCATTCGTCTAACCAAATCGGTCTATATTTAAAGCTAATCTTTTAACTTACAGCTTAATGTGTATGCGTGATAAAAGATATGTACATACAGTAATTAGTAATACAATTTAAACAGTAAACGTATCATAATGATGGACGGAAATGATTTATCATCAGAAACATCAAGAAAGAGTATTATTTCGCAAGCTTGGACACGTATTTCACAGGTATTGTAATTCAACCGCTTAAAACACGTATCCAATAAGTGTCACTTAGTTATGGCAACAGGGAACTGCTAATGATAATTAGTCTTATTTATGCAGAGTGTAATAGTATTAAATTGACATCCAAAAGCACGCTAGCATAGTATTCAAAATTCTTATAGGCCAATATTCAAAAATTTCATATTGGAATACCTCCTACTTCTCATACACGTTTCTTGAACCATTATTATCAGTCCTTGGCTTAAGTCAAATAACTTATTATTTGTTCACACTAAATAAATACTTACCTTAATGTTCTTTTTATTTTTACTTTTCTTACAAACTGTCAATTATGCTGTCTATTAATCACTACACATATACAGTATTATTTGAGTTAATAAAGAAATATATGTTATTAATATAGTAGAACCTTGAGTTCAGACAATTTATATTTATATTAAATATCCTATCGACTGTTATGATGCAAACTGACTTGTGTTCAAAGTGGACTAGAAGTTTGATGCACAATATACAGCATCAGTTCAGACAATTGCACATTCCAATAATCTTAAGTCAACCTTTGGAAAAGTGAGGATTTGTATAATTGAGTTTTTTCCTGTAGATGTTAAAAAACTTCTAAAGTTAATTTTCATTTCATAATTATTTTCCACATTATTTGACTAAACAGTTACCCTTAAATTGCAAGAAATTACACTTGCTCTTTAACCTTTGCACTTTGCTGAACATTCAAAACTTAGATATGAAAAGACCTAAAGAGCTTAAAAGAAATGATGACTTAATTATTATGCATTATTATTATATTTTTTTATTGATCACTTAAATAATTTCAAAGTATGGATCAACATCTACTTTTTTTTGAGGAAGATTTTTATTATAAACTGGTGATTGTTAAAGTTTATTGTTATATTACAGATTTATCAAGGCACCTTAGACAGATGGACTCCATATACAAAAGGAAGATGGATTGGCAGTATATTCCTCTTATTAATATTTTTGCTTAGAATATTTACAAAACAAGTATGTATTGTTTTGTTGTTGTTTAAACTTTCATAATAATCATATGAGCTTTACTTAATTGAAAATTTTAGCATGTTATTGCGCTATTGATGATATACTCATCTATTTAGGTCCTAGATAATGTTTTTTTAATATGACAAATACTAATTGTTTATAATTCAGTGTTTAAAATAATGTGGTACAGGCAGGATTGTATTATATTTTGTATTCACAATGCTAGGTACGGCATATTTTGTTAAATACCACATATTTTGTTAAAGAAATGAGATCTCTGGGTACCTGGGACTGGTGAGCTTTTTCTTTAAAGATTACTTCACTTGTTCTTTCTCCGTTACAATGCTAAATTCGTTTAACATTTGGTGTGAATTAATTATCTATAAATCCTGAACCTTATTTTCTACAGAGGAACTTTCAAACTAAAGTGAAATAATAACAAAACTCAGTGAATAATATGAAAGTTATCATGCTTTTCGAGCAAACAATAGTAACATTGCCCAATTAAGGTTAGCTGTCTTGTTAAAAAGTTATCATATTATTGGGAGCAGTACTACAATTTAAGATTATACTAATGTGGTCTAAAAATTGTTTAACTTTTCAAAGTCACTCCTATTCATCTAAAGTTCTCTAAAGTAAATCATAGGATTATTAATATATGAGAGGTGTCATTAATATTTATGTAATTATTTTTTATAACTATAATTACATATATTATATTAAAACTAAATAATAAGGTTACTATATCTACATTTAGTGCTCTCAATAAATCAATTGATACTAAAGAAAAAGCAAAGCTTAGTTTAAACAGATGTTTGTCATTAACCAAACAGCATTTTGAATGCAAATATAACCAGTCTTTTATGTCTATACTGTTAGATAAACTGTTCTGAACTAAAATTGTGACAGGCAAGCTTATCTGGTTAACAATTTTACAAATGATAAAATCATCAAATTATATACTCTGCCTTGTTCTTTCATTAAAAATTGTCAAAGATAATGAAGATTAAATTGTAAGGAAAACGGTTAACAATAAATTATGGAAAACTATTTGTCCTGTTGTGTTTAACAAAACAAATATATTTGCAGGGTTGGTATATAGTAACTTACGCCCTTGGAATCTATCACTTGAATTTATTCATAGCATTCCTGACACCAAAAATAGATCCAGCGATGGATTTTGATGGTAAGTAAATAAAAAGTAAGTGTATTTTGAACCTAAATATACAGAAACATATAAAGTATAAGACTATATGTTTCTGTATCGCTTCTAAGTCATATAAGTCCTGAAATCCATTCCACAGATATTACAATACTATACTAGTACAGATTCTTGAATTTGTTAAGCCACTTTTGTTACCTACCTATTATCTTCACTAGATGGCAACAATTATGTAAGAAGGTGATTTATAGGCTGTTTTTCCTAGGCGTTCGAAAAGCTAGGAAAAATTACCTCAGTATTTCAGGAGTCACGAAAGACCATGTAACGAAACGAATGTCTCTCTGACCAGTGTATGTTGCCAGTGATAACTCACGGAAGCGAAACTATAGGTCTCATAAGAAAGTTCAAGACTTCGATCAACGATACAACTAGATGCTCGGTCAGTTTCAAAAATGGCCGAAGACATAACGCCTCCCTTCAAAGTGCGGTTTTAGTTTGTTTGTGTGTATTAAAACTGCAAATATAACTATCGGAATAAAAATGTATTTGTTGGAATATCATATTTTCGAGTTATAAATGTGATTATACAATGTCTATAGGTACCTATGTCTAACAGTTTCGTTTCTTATGAGCCTACCACACGTGCATGCTTGACCACAGTTTTACTTGCGCATGCCGGCTTGTACACTGAACACTGTGCGTGTAGTTAAAATGGTAGCATGTGCAAACCCCAAAGCTTGGCTGGATGGTTTTTAAACTCGCTTGAAATTCTGGCATGCGCAAGCTATACTTGTGCAAACTTGTTTGCGCGTGTGGTTGGGCGTTCAGTGTTCAAGCCGCTCAGTCAGTCGGGTGAAGCAACTGTGCGCGCACTGTCGTAAAAATGTCGGATTATTTTAGATAATGCTTGTTCTGAAATTGCCGCAGAAAACCTCAAATCTTGATACGATCTCCCAGTTGCCAGAAACCTTTTAAGTAGCGGTTAATCTTTCGTGAGGGGATATACTCTCACGCATTACCGTGTTTTGTCGTTGAATGAGAGGCGTAACCAAACGTAACAACTCACTATAGGCATTTTCGTCCATCCGTAACAACTCACTATAGGCATTTTCGTCCATCTGTAAATAATTCCGCCAATCGTTTGGATCATCTCTTAAATCCTTGAGTAGATTCATATGTGAATGAATTTTTCTATTCAACAGCCATTTTTTTTTGTCCACTTTGATCATTTACGCTTCGACTTATGCATTTTCTTTTTTTTTCACTAGCAAACACTTGTAAAATAATAGCAGAAGAAATAGTTCTTCATTGGGAAACATTGTTTCTACGCCGACGTTGTCGACAAGAATGTGGTTTGCGCGTACTTAACTGTGCCGTGTGGTAGACACGTCCGTGTTCAGTCTTTTCATGCGAGAAGCATGCGCAAGCAAAACTATAGTCAAGCATGTACATGTACGTGTGGTAGGCGCATTAGTCAACCCACACGCCAACGTGGCAAACATTTACAAATATTTGCCCAAATATTCGATGTTCTAAGACGGCACATACATGAGTAGTATACTATTACATTTTTTTTTACCTAAAATTGCAACACTGATTATAAACCATCTTGGTGTAGCGGTACGTGTTCTCGATTACAAAGCCGTGTGCATGAACGTGTAGGTTTGTATTAGTCTAGGTGTTTTATATGTATTTCAAATATCTATTTACAAAAAAACTAAAACAAAAGATGCGTTCCGTGAAATTGAATGTTAAAAGTTTTTAATAGAGATGAAGGTTGGAATATACCATTGACTTTGAATCCAGTCTTATAAGTCGAATAAAATCTCAACCACTGCACTGATCAAACACTGCAAAACCTATGGTTACTGTTAGTATTTTTTGTAAACATTTTAAACTATAGAGAGTAATCAAATTCTTCTTTACAGTATTCTGTTTAATCCACTTACGCCATCTTATCTTAAGGAGCGTATTTATATCCTTCATAATACCCAAACTCGAATTTTGAGATCATCAAAGAACTTAAAATTGGAGACATCAATGCATTCCACTAAATTTCTTAAAATATCTTATAATTCAATTTTTTTAGTAGTTTAATATGATAAAACTTTTATTTAAAGTATTTCTGAGTGGATTTTAATGATTTTTAGTAGAGTTTAACTCAAAAGTCTGCTGCACATATAGCGTGTTATATTTTTGATTCATAAATAATTATAAGGCTATTGGTATGCAATATTCCCATTGAAATTTTCATTGGTTTCAAAACAAAATATACTTAACGCAATATAATAATATCGATTGAAGTCGTATTTCATTGTTAATGTTATTGATTTTTTTTTTACAAATATTTTTTTTTTATATTTATTGTCCGTGTTATATAAAAATATGAGTTTGCAAATATAATATTAGGAAGATTTATGTATTTCATGGAAGTAACAAAAGTAACAGCTTAAGCTTATCATGCCATTGAGAAATTAAAGGATTTTTTTTTTTTTACTAATAACCCGAAATCAAATGTCGTTGGATTAATTGATATATTAAAAAGGAAATATATGATACTCTCATAATAAAAAGAAACAGCTGTTAGCCGGTATGAGAGGCGTTATCTATACCTAGTTTCATTTAAACCGGCACAAATGTAAACAAATATGGCGACATGACAGTTTTAGTAATAGGACATATTATTAAGAATTTTATTGATTGAACTATCTCTTTTATGTTATTCAATGACTATTCTCAAAGTAGTATAATATTAAACTATAATAAAATTACATTTAAAAAAATCCGTGTATTAGTATGACAACTGGACAAGTTTACTTAATTATACTACATATTAATTTAATGCTAATGCGAGGGTTCATGGGAAATAAATATTAAGCGAACTCCTGGTGAATATTAAGTTTTATAGTATTTTACTTCGTATTTCGATCTTAATTTCACAGTAAATAGTAAATCTTAAGAAAAACTAAAATTCGAGTACATTGAAGATATTTTATTATAGAAAATAACTTGATTCATTTTTTATAAAAATATAGACCCTTTTTGATATGCTTTTCCTCCTGGAGATTCAAACTTTGAAACGCCTTTCGATAAAGTTTTTAAAATATTGCAATTTAAAAGATTCTGTCTCAGTTTCAGACACATGAATTAAAAATGGCGGAGATATTTCGTCTGTCATGTCATGTTGTCTATTAGACCATCCAACTTCATAATTTTTTCCTCCTCTCTACTCAAATGTTAGATGCATTTTCTTCGTGCTCCCACTGTTAGAAGAAAGACTACACCAATAATTTGTAATCTTTCTTCCAACAGTTTTTTGACCTCTGCCATTTTAATAGTTTTATTCTTTCTTCCCACATAAGAGTTGAACTACGCTCATGAGCTCAATAGGGTTAAGCTCACAGTGATATGGAGGAAGGCGCAAAATCGTTACATTTTTAATGGCTGCATTCATTTATTTTCTTTTTTGAAATTTTGTTTCGTCAAATTTCGCTAGTAGTTGCTCTTTGATTTCATCTTTTTCAAACTCGAATTCTTTTTCACGCAGCCACACTTGTATGTTGGCCTACCTCCAACTTATAACAGGCAGACGGTCAATATTTTTGGAATGATGTTTAAAGTGATAATCCAAGTTTACATATTTGTTTCGGTTGCATTTCGTCGTTCGATCATTGTGAGTTGTTTGTTTACATTATTCGCCACTTTAAATGAAACAAGGTATAGTTGTATTGTTGATCGAAGGTTCAAGGTCATCCAGCAGACAGTGGAATAATGTTTCTTCTCAAGAACATAATAGGAATTAATAGATTAGTTAATATAGAGAACTAACAACACTATCATTGTTTGAAAATTCGCTCAGATGAAATGGCAATGTGCAAAATACATAGTTCTAGGGATGTCTGTTGGGTCGGAAATTTTCTTGCTTCCATAATTTATTCCAATTCCTAATGAACGTGAAATGAGCATCTTAGTCGTAGATTCGAATCCTATCACAGAGTGCCAGAGGTAAAGTGGATTTTTAAGCATTTTTAATTAACAATATTTTCCAGTGTATAGTAACAACTTGTTACCTACTTTTATTTTTAAGTTCGCTATTGGCAGTCGTGATTTTTTTTAAATGTTTTCATTTTTTCCTTTAAGTGAACTGTTAATTATCTATACAAACGATATATTTTTGGAATGTACTCATGAGTATGGCTTATTTATATACGTCTTCATACATTAACCATATTGGATATCTATTGTATACTAACATTATAAAGAGGAAAGATTTGATTGTTTTTTTAACGAATAGGCTCCGAAACTACAAACTACAAGTCCAATTTTGGGTAGTCGTGAAAAATAAAATTAGGAATTTTAAAATTTAAATATGACACCTCAAAAAAATTCTTTGTAAATTTGTTTTTAATGACACAAAATGATAAGAAAATAAACGTCAATTATTTTAAAACAAAAAATACATGTTTAGTATTTACATATAAGTTACCATTTCCAACATATGTATTTTAGGTAGGGTTTATTGTTGTCAAGTAGCCAATTATATGCCATCAAACATTTAAAACTATGACCTATTGATAAAAATATTTTTTCAGGTGAAGATGACAATGGCCCAGCTCTACCGACGAGAGCCACGGAAGAGTTTAGGCCTTTCATACGGCGGCTGCCGGAGTTTAAATTTTGGCTGTCCGTAACGAAAAGCACAGTAATTGCATTCTTTTGCACATTCATTGATGCATTTAATATTCCAGTATTTTGGCCAATATTGGTCATGTATTTCATCACCCTATTCTGTATCACAATGAAGAGACAAATTAAGGTAATTTTTTATTCAAAATTTTAAAATTTCCTATGAAGTATTTACATTAGTAATGTTACCACCATTCAATGTATCTACTAAATATGTATTTTATTATTTATTTATAACCAGTGGTCGGAATTAGGTAGAGTTATTCATGTACTTACAATGATTTCATACAGCGAAAGAATAAAGTGGATATGCCTCAAATCCCGAGATTAATTTTAAAGAGCAGAAAAAATCCCGTCATTTTTTAAATAAAAAGTTATTTACTTTTACACAATTTAAACTACTGCACGCACGACGTTGCCAAACTTACATCAATGACATCGGATGTCCAAAGATGTCCAAGATTGTCCATTAGAAATCCCGGGAAGGTCCACATTAATATCAACATTTCTATGCAAGTACATAAATAACTCTACCTTATTCCGACCTCTGTTTATAACTGACGCCGCAAACTTTGTACCGCCTCATAATTTTTTTAAAAATCTGTTTATTAGTTGAAGATTTTATTCATTAAAGTCAAATCTATCCCGTTTTAAATATTAACAGCCCCCTCTCCTCTAGTTTCAACTGTAAAATGTCAGGGGGCCAATTCTACTAAATAATAGGTTTCGATTCGATTTAAACAAAATTTATTTAGTAGAATTGGCCCCCAGGTCCATATAATCTGCGGCACGTAAGTTGAACCAATATGGCGACTGCCCAGTTACACATTTACGGGTCTCAATCTAGCTACGGAGGTAAGACGCAGCGCGTAACCATAGCAACGCAGTATACAGGAGACAGAACCTGCACGTGAAATCGCCATCTTGGTTCAACTTATTTGAATATTAACTCAGTACATACATTTATATTTATCTTTTAACAATTCATATTTTTCTTTCAGCATATGATCAAATACCGGTATTTGCCGTTCACTCATAGTAAGCCAAAGTATAAAGCTGTGGATTCAACAGTAACTATAAACTGACGACTTACCTACCTACATAATATGTAAAAATTGAAAACGGGAAGGAGTCATAGTTAAATTAACTTAAAACTGTTGTATGTTTCTAGAAATACAGTTTTTATTATGATGTTTTATCTTCTTTGATTTAATAGAATGAGCCAGTGTTATAATATTTAATATTAACTTTCAGAAATTGAAATGGTTGATACTTGAGTATTATAAAAGTGCAATGTGTTTGATATTTTTACAAAGATTTCGTTAGTTCATACAATCTTACACCGCGTTAAAATTTAAAACGTTTGAACGCAATCGTTTCCTTCTGTTTTACTAATAATCGTGGTAATGTACTCATTATTCTTACTTCAAAAAAAGTTTAATAATATTGTATGAAAATTTATTATTCCCAGTTTTTCTGTAAATAACTATTATTTCTTATATTATCTGCCGAGGTTCAGACACGCGATTCACTAAGATCATTATAGTTAAAGTTGAAATAAATAGCGCAATGCAATTTACACAACGCCATCTAGTGATGAATGGGCAAATTTTACAACAGGGTTGATTTTTTTTTTGTGTCCGTGAGGTAGTTTATTGAAAATTATTAAACAAGTATTTCTTTTATTTTTTGCATAGTCAATAAATTACGGCAGTATATTGAGTTGAATTGTCGCATGACGTCACAACTTTGTACATTTTACGTAGCGAGCCCCCCTCTCTTCAACTTTAGTGCCTATTATCTATGCCACTTCATGTTTCTGACAATATTTACAATAGTTTTTTCTGATATATTATTGACGGAATAAATAGAATTTGTTTTTTTTTACCCAGTCATCATCTCTATTATCTGATCACTAACTGAAGTTGATCACTTGATTTGTGTTTTTGTATATTTTCTCTTAAGCGTAGTCATTTTTAACTTTATAAAAAGCGAAGAAATTTTACACATGCAGATATTTACATTGTACTGTAATGTAGAAAAATGTTAAGTTATATTTATTTCAAAGTTTATTGTTAGCGCATTTAAACAAAAGCTTGTTTAAAAGATATTTTTTACTTTGTTTTTTATTACTTTCGTAAATTTCTCAGCAAACCCTTTCATTTGATACATCATCATCATCACCAGCCCTTTTACGTCCCCACTGCAGGGGCTCAGGCCTTCCTAATGGATGGTTAAGTAGGATGGGCCATGACCCTCCACGCTGGCCCAATGCGGATTGGAGGGTATTAACGACTGCAAATGCAGCCGGGACCAACGGCTTAACGTGCCTTCCGAAGCACGGAGTAGCTCGAGATAATAATTTTAGGACACCAACCCCTTGACCAACCCTTGCGAAAGTTGCTTAACGATCGCGGGCCGCGGCTCTTATCCACTACGCCACCGAGCTACATTTGATACATAATAGCAGCCAATTGCACAAACGTCCATTAAAATAGTCATTAGTTTAAAGCTACTTTACCCATACAAATTTGACATTTATTAGAGCTTAAAAGCGTCATTAAGCCTTAATAGACGTTTGTGCAACTTACCGTGTGCTTAAATAAAACAATTACTCCGCCATTTTTAAATTAGAAAATAATTTTTTTATTCGTATTTTTCTCAGATTATTTCTACATTTGATACCTATGCGTATGGGACGGTACGTACCCAAAAAATAACTAGGCCGCTATCTTCGACAGTGCGCCATATAAAAATTGTGTTACCAACATGCAGTTAGTAACATTATCTTTAAAAAACGCAAAATACACGTTTGTTGTATGTGAGTATCAAACTCGCTAAAACGTTTAGTTATTTTATTTATTTTAGTGTAATATATATTTTCAACTAATGCAGTTAATTATAAAGGGCAAGAAATTTATTGCTAGCCGATACTCTTGTCAAAAATATAACCATAGGTTATAATCATCAACGAATGGTCTAAATCAGCGATTCCCAAAGTAGTTAATATCGACCTCTGGGGTACATACAGATTTTTAAATTACTCACTCACAGTTAGGGTGATCGATCGGTACTTCGCCAATCAGCTAAACAAAGAGTAATGTAAATAAACTATCAGATGTGGAGCTTCTTTTTAAAAAAAGCCGTGAATATTGATAAGGACTCCGTATTTTTATCTTAACGATATGTTACAACTCTTGGATAGTCAACAGCATCTTTTCTCCTTCCTTACTTCACTTGATATTATCGAACATTCTAAAATGTTGTGGGAGTCATAGAGAATTAATAGTACATTTAAACCCAGTCAAGTCTTAGAATAATAAAAAAACAACTAGTTAACATTTATTAATATATAAAACCTACCTATAAGATAATACTTTTTAACTATTATTGACAAAAAGAATCTCACGGACACCGATCTATGCGAAATAATCCCAACCTAGCGACATTTTTATCACTAGCGACTATTTTTAGCTTTTATTTACCAAAGTCTACTCTACCTACAGCACAGCGCAATTCGCAATCTATTTATTGTTGTAGGCCAATCGTATAAGTAGGCCGGAATATTAGATTTTTTTTTTATCAAATGCCACTTCATGCATAGTAACTGCTCTTAAGTTACTATGCATGAACAGTTTCTAGCTCCGCCTAATGGAACTACATGCATACAATGGGTTCTGGCATATTGATGTGACCAATTGGCTGGGCCTCAATTCTGTGTATTTATTTATTTATCAAAACTATTGTCCAGCCAGTAAATGGTACAATTAGCGGACTTAATACTGATATCATGTTAAACAAATAATGGCACTTCAATGGCGTTCCAATAAATACATTTTTGCCTTGCATTATTCGCCTATGGCCAAATATATTTAGTTTCTTGGCAAATAAATGATTACATTCTTTAGTTATTTTTCATATATACTGACAAGAACCCCATCCCGTACAACAATATGCAAAACTTCGTGGAAATTATACAGTTTTGTGTAATTTGTATAAGTAACAATTTGGGTCTCTGTCCGTTTCTTCGTCTGCCTAGGGACGGGGTATAGTATTGTATGTACCTATTGGATACACTTAGTGACTTAATACCTAGTCTAGCCATAAGTTTTGTTACAAAGAAAATATCCGATAATTTTTGTGAAGTAAAAAGATGTGCTAACGTATTAAACTAGTCATTCAGTGTCCACCCTCAGCTTTAACACACGCTTTAAAACGGTCGAGCCATTCATCGATGGATTTACGAAAGGCTTCCATTGGAAACTTGGTCACTGCTGTGACCACACACAGCACAGACCACAATTTATAGTCCAAATGGTTTGAGTTCGGACTAGCTAAAGGCCAATCATCAGCCTTTATGAAGTCTGGAACATTTTGCTCAAGCCAAATTTGGGTAGTGCGCGCATTATAACCCGGGACTGAATCCTGTTGGAATGTCCACACTTCGTTTTTGAATATGGTGTTGTGGAGAAGTTTAACTACAACTTCTAACACAGTATATTGATACACTTTGGCTGAAATTTACACTCCTTTTTCGCAAAATTGGAGTTTTGTATCCCCTTGCTAAGAGACAACCCAACAAACCATGACGTATGCTGGATGATGGCCTCGCTGAACTTTGGCCACTACCTCAGAAGCTTCTTTAGAGTTGTGTGCATACACTCGAACATTTTGTTTGTTGTAGTGCGTCTCGATTGTAAAGATGTTTTCATCGGTAAAGAGAATTTTTCGCCCACGTATCGAAGTAACAGTTGTTTTGATCTTTCGACTGTCTTTTGTTTTAGTGCCCGTTATAAGGTATGTCCTGTGAAAAGCTGGGTACCGTTAATCACATAATAAAAAACAGTTAACTTCGTTATATGTTAAAGCGTTACATTTCGAAAGATTTAACCTAATTTAACGGTAATTGTTAATCCGTTAACACATAAAAATTGCATTTTTTATCACGTAATCATACCAATGATAAACACATAAGAACTGTTGAGTTGTGTTCTGGAAGTTAACAGCTTAATAACAAAAACTCAAGATGCATGATTACTGCTCTCGGTACTACCGCAATCATCATTATTATCGGAATGAGAGATGCTCCTCTTTGGCTTACCCCGCTTAGACCCTGCCTTGACCATCTCTTCAAATTGTAGGTATAGGGACTCAAGCACTTTTCATGTGCTGTTTATGAGTTTTTATTTTTGTTTGTTTAGGCAAGCATCGTTTACACTCGAAAAGTATTTGTTTTCCCGATCTGGATACAAAATTAACATAGTTACTCAAATGTGGCCACGGATTTTCGTCCGTAGTGGCACTGGAATCCAATCCATAATACACTGCACAGATGTAATGTATCACAGCACACTTAATTCAAAAAGTACGTAGTAATCCATAGTATTATAATAATTCAACAAAAAAAACAAAACACTCGTCATTGTAAGCGCCGGCGATAAATTATGAAAACAATATATACATACTTAAATAAGTTATTTTTTTCACAGTTTTCTTTCTTCCTCGCACGCACGGCAAGAAATAGGTACTTAACTAGTTTCATTTCACTCACACACAATGCACTGGCGCACGTCATGCTGCCACCGCACTTGTCGGTCGGAATCTGTCCGAACGTGTTTTTCTCGGCGACGGCGGCGTGGCCGGCAAGGTGCTTGGTGAATAGTAGATACTGGATTAACGATTAACGAACTTAGCGTAAGTAAACGGAAGTTAATGAGTCAATTAATATTTATTAATGTTAACTTAAACCGTTAGTCGAAATGTTAACTTCGTTAATTAACGGATTAACGAGTTAATGCCCAGCTGTGGTCCTGTGTATCTCCGGTAAGCCCCTAGACCTAAGTCTTGTTTGATAATCCGAAAAAGTGCCCTCAGTGGGTTTCTCATTTCTCTGGGAAGGATTTTCTGTTTCCTTATGGCATTTCGACGAATTCTGGCCTTGACTGCATTAATGGCCTGGTTTGTTCAAATAGACCGCGGTCGGCCGGATCTCACGGTCATCAACAGACATGGTCACAGTGTACCTTTGAATGATACGATACACAAACATTCAGCTAATCCCTAGCTTTTTCAATGTATCAAAAGTTTCGGCTGGCTCCTTACCTGCTTTGTACAGTGTAATTACTGTAATCCTATTCTCTTTAGTGCCGCACTTAATTTTCAAAACCAATAATTTCAAAACAAAAAAAGGATCTGA